TATATATATATATGTATATTACCCCTATTTCTCACCCTCTGCCATTTCCCACCCTCCTCCCACACTACTTTAGGTGTCTACAGTTGTTTTTCATTCCTTCCCTCCCCCACATTTTATTGATTCACAAAATTTCTTAAGTAATCTAACTACTTTCAATAGCAAGTTTAGCTGGTATGCACGTATCAGTGAATACATGTCTGACTTTAGGTGTGAAACTCTTAGTAGAATAAATATACTATAAGTTAACACTTAGCTTAAAAGCTTACTATGATCATTAAAAAGGTTTTTATTTTTTTGGAGAGATTTTCGCTATAGGGCACGTGCGCTCGCCAGACAGAGAGAGACACAGAGACAGAAAGGAGAAATCACCCCCCAGGGGGGATGGTCACATCGCAATCCCTTCTCCTCCATTCTCCTCTCGGGATCTTGGGCACACACGCACATGCGCCCGGTGTGAGTTTTAAGCCACCAGATCTGGGACGCGAACCGCAGTCGACTACATGGGAGTCCAGCGACATAGCCATTACGCAAACTGCTGGTCCCTTTGTCTGTAGTTTTGTTCAGTCTGGCTATAATGTGTCTTGGAGAAGATCTTCTTGGGGTGACTCTATTGAGGTCCTTTGTATTTTTCAGGACTGGATCTTTGAGTGCCTCTCTAGATTTGAAAAGTTTTCTTGCAGGATTTCATGGAATAGATTATCAATGCCCTTATGAGTCTCTTCACCTTCTGGGATACCAATTATATGGATGTTTAGACATTTGATGGTATCTAGTATTTCTTGTACATTATTCTCATTTTTTTGGGCCATTTTCTCAGTCTTCATGGTGGACTTTTCTAGGCCAGTGATTCTGTCTTCTACATCTGAGATTTTGTTTTCTGTATGATCTAGCCTGCTTTGAATACTTTCAAGGGAGATTTTTGACTTCCTGTATTATAGCCTTCATCTCTAACAGGTCCATTTGATTCTTTTTTAAAGTGTGTAATTCCTGTTTTAGATCTTGCAAGAATTTCCTCACCTCCTAGAACTAGTCAGCTCCTTTCTCCTGCCTCTTCTGCAGTTTGTTGTCTGTCTTCTCTTCCATCTCTGTTAGCTTCGCCATTATGAATATTGTAAATTCTTTATCAGACATTTCCATGATTTCCATTGAATCCCATATTTCTTGTGGCCCTGAGGTGATTTCTAGTCATCTGATGGATGCTGTGTTTCTTCCTAATTCTTGAAGTTCAATCTGAGTGTTCAGGAGTGTACAGAAGGAGGTGACCTGGAATCTTTTTGCTGTTCTGTTTTTATCCCTTTGTGCAGCAGATTCAGTGGGTATTGAGGAATATGTTAACCCTAAAAGTATTTGGATGTTTGCCTATGGTTCTCTTAGATCTGTTAGAAACACAGTGAATATAGATTGAGGAATAGAGTGATGAGATAAAAGGAAAAGAAAAGGA